AAACATACTAGTTTTCCTGGCACTATAGTGCCCTGAGGGTGCCCCCACCCTCAGGGTCCCCCTCCCGCCCGGCTCTGGAAAGGGGTTAAAACTTACCTTTTTCCAGCGCTTGGCGGAGAGCTCTCCTCCTCCGATCCTCCTCTTCTCCTCCCCGTCAGCTGAATGCGCACACGCAGCAAGAGCTGCCCGCGCATTCAGCCGGTCAAATAGGAAAGCATTCATAATGCTTTCCTACGGACGCTGGCGTGCTCTCACTGTGAAAATCACAGTGAGAAGCACGCAAGCGCCTCTAGTGGCTGTCAATGAGATAGCCACTAGAGGAAATAGGGGAAGGCTTAACCCATTCATAAACATAGCAGTTTCTCTGAAACTGCTATGTTTATGAAAAAATGGGTTAACCCTAGAAGGACCTGGCACCCAGACCATTTCATTAAGCTGAAGTGGTCTGGGTGCCTAGAGTGGTCCTTTAACATGGGGGGTATTGTTATACTCGGGAGACTTCGCTGAACACAAATATGAGTGTTTAAAACAGTAAAACTTATCACGACGATGAAATCACCAGTAAAAGTGCAGTTTTTGTTAAAACCAAAAATCTTTATATCCGGTTAAAAGCGTACTGAAAGGTATTAAGAGACTAAAATTTCAAAATCCCCTAAACCCCTCAAGGGCCACAGATGTACCTGAATTAGAGTGCTCCAACCTGTACATTGGCGGCAACGTTGTACTTGGGAGAGGTTGCTGAACACATATTGGGGTGTTCTTTCTCAGCAACACATAACAACAGGAACTGAGAATCCATGCCTAAAGTACAATAAAAACACAAAAAAACAACTACCCAAAAGTTTGACAAAGAATGGTGGTAGAATTTGTGCATGGAAAGTGTTAAAATACCACCATTTGAAATACCCTAGGGTGCCTACTTTTTAAAAAAATATATAGTTTGATGGGGTAAATTACATTGGCCGGCTTCACAAATAGGACATGGGTGCATGATGACCAGCTGTGAAAATTCCAGGTTGGAAAACTGGAATGTGCATCCTCCAAATAAGGTCTTTTAGCCCCCACAGAACCCGACACACCTATACATGGGTGGTATCACTATACCCAGGAGATATTTCTGAACACATATTGGGGTGTTATTTGGCAGTAAACCTTAAAGTTCTCCATACATGTATTCTTAAATTGCTATGTGTATCAAAAACATCACCAATAATTTTTTTTTATTTTCTTAATTTGGCATAGATTGGTGGTAAAATGGTTGCATGAAAAGAGTCAAAATACTCCAAGTTTAATACCTTAGGTTGTCTTCTTTTAAAAAATATATACATGTAAAGGGTTATTTAGGTATTCCTGACAGATATCAGTGTTACAATGTAACGCGTTAATTTAAAAAAAAAAATGGTTTGGAAATAGCAAAGTGCTACTTGTACTTATAGTCCTATAACTTTCCAAAGAAAGCTAAAAACATGTTAACATTGGGCATTTCTAAACTCAGGACAAATTTTTTTTGTAAATTTCTTTTTTATTTTTCAACTATCAGATAAACGTTGTCGAGACTCGCAGATCTCCATGTACTTGGCATCATTTCGGTACTCGCAGGTCCCAAACAGTGTCGTCTCTAGGATCTCGTATCTCAGTGTAATAGGGTATTACCTCCTCACCGTGATTCAATTGGGCTCGACTTTATGTTACATACATTGTTGATAGAGGTAACACAGATAGTTTCCGACAGTCAAATATTAGAAGATAAACATTGTAACAGACTAAACTAATGTGTCTCCATCTCGTTTGCTAAGGTTTTTAAGTTCCCATTCGCTGACCGGGGTCCTCTTCTTGGCCAGAGGGAGGAACTGAGGGTTCGTAGTATCCTGCACATTTCGGGAAGATACACGCAGGTCCCCTTGCAAATGTCGCAAGTGCGTTTGACCGTGTTCCAGCATGAGGCAGTGCAGACGACACAGTGTAAAGTAAAATGGTGTGACCTCAGCAGCTCAGCACTCAGTTGGGCGTGTGCCTTAAATTTAGCGCAAGCAGGTATGCCTTAGTGTGGTCACTTCCGGTGTCTCCTGCTGGGGATTATCAGGTCCCTCCCCCCGTGGCTGTGGCAAGCCGCCCCCACCCCCCCGGGCCCTGATCCCTCCCCTTCCATTAGGTATTTGGTCCGAAACTCCTTCATGCCCACCCGCACCAGCCAGGGTGTCCATGTGTCCGTGTGTGTCTGCGCTCGGTCTTGGGCTGTGTTCCACAACTTCTCCGTGACCTGTAGTTCTTCCATTTTGGTATACCAAAGGGTCAGCATTGGGACCATGTCCTTTTTCCAGTACAGGGGTATTAAATGTTTTGCAACGTTAAGTATGCGAATGGTCAGGGAGCATTTGTAGCGAGATGTGGGGGTTGTCATGTGTTGCAGAAGGTAGGGGGCTGGCTGGAAAGGTGGCGCGTTGTGGCGGAACAGACCTCGCCACGTGTTCTTGGAGGGGGCTGCTTGCCCGCCTCCTACCTTCTGACTATGGCCCTGGGATATATGGCATTTGAAAACACTATTTGTGCCATGTGACAAAACTGGAGATTGTGCACAAATATGACTATTGTCCATATTTTTGATGATTCCCTTCGTTTGTTGCACTGTTCCCCATGTGTTTAATCTGTTGGTCTGGCTGGATAGACTACCAGACAAACTGTGGAGTTACTGGGTGGCCACCATTTCATGTATCAGAGGCACATGGTGAGAACAATTAATGGTGGCCATTTTAATTCACAGACACTGTTTGGACTTTTCTACACGGTGCCATCTCGCCAGTATTTGGTGCACAAAGACATCGTGCAGTAGTTTTAAACTATACAACAGGGGACACATTTTACAGTAATTATTTTTCATATAGCCTGTATATGTTCTTCGGAATTTGCATTAAACTGTATCTTCCAAACTACTGAACGGATCTGGGTGAATTTTTTATGGGGTTATTGCATGTTTTAGGGTCCCTGTGATATGTTTTATAATACTGTATTTCTCTGCCTGTGATAATTATATTAACCATTGTGTTCAGTAATCATATCACAGGCAGAGGGGAGGATTTTGTGTGGAAGTGTCTGTGTGTATTGTACTGATTGGTTGTATTTCAAAACCCTGTGGGCAGTACTATGTTTGTGGATTGTGAATAAAAGAGCCTGTATGTGCCAGTACAGTCAGTTCTGCTTGACCTCAAAACGAAGTGTCGTCTCGTTATTGGGGGAATTGGATTGTATGCTGATTGCCAGGAGTGTAAGCTGATTGTATGCTTTTCCTGTTCAGCTGCTTACAGCATTCATATGCTTGAGAGCATTCGTATGTGTCTCCGGTTCGGTGGTTGTGTCTGCTGCAGTGCTTGGAGTCCTCAGGGAGCGCTAGGAGCATCCTTCAACGGAGGTACCCAGTCGGGGTGCCAGCGGTTCCGTTACATTGGTGGCAAGCGGTGGGATGGCGTCCTAGTGCGAGGTAAAGCAGCTCGGAGACACCGTTCGTGGAGTTACAAATTGAGGGCAACGCTAGCACTCGTGCAGCGCCCCTGGGAGCAGAGGTATCCAGAGACTTGGAGCAGACAAGTATGAAAGGATCTGGCGATGATTGGCTGGCCGAGGTGAGGCAGCGAGTGGCCCAGTATGGTGATAATGTGCCCATGGATATATTCCAAGCGATCTGGAACCAGATCACAGCTGAGCGAAACGCAAGGATGGACCGAGAATTCCGGCTGGCAAAAGAGAGAGAATATGCTCAGCGGAAGGAGTGTTACAGCAGCCAAAGAGAGGCTGCATTCGAGGAGGTTAAATGTTTCCCCCGAGGCGGCCAGAGGAACCCAAAGTAGGGGTCCTCATAGACTGGTCCTGTGAGGGACCACAACAGGCAGGTGGAGATGGGACCGAGGTCTCTCCACCGGGCCCAACGGGTTGCTGGGCAGCCGGCCCAGATCCCCAGCAGCAGCCAGAGTTACCGGGTGTGGAAGCCAGTGGTCCTTACGCGCAAATGTTGAGGAACCTCACAGACTGGTCCTGGGAAGACCCACAGATGGCAGGTAGAGATAGGACTGCAGTCTCTCTACTGGCCCTACAGGGATGCTGGGC